GAAAGCTTCTGGGAACCATAATTCATTCTCTCTCTGTAACTGTCTGTCTGTCTCTCTCTCTCCCCTTTCTCCCTCACCCCCCTTCTCTCTAAATTTGGAGGTAAATATTTCCTCTTTGATCCCTCTGTGTGCGGCCACACCTACTACTTCAGTCTTTGTGCAGCATATGATATATTTTAATCATTTCTTCCAGGCACAGGAAAAATCAAAGGCTGAAGTAACAAGTAAGACCCTACCTGGCCCCAGACTCCCTTGGTCAAGGAGTTTTGGGTACCCTTCAGATTCTCTCTTCAACAGTGGGATCCCATTTCTGGACTTATTTTCTTTGATTTCCATCAATTTCAGGGCACATTTTATGCCATCTTGTGACTCCTGCTGTTACTTAATTCCTCCTCTATTTTCCCCTCTGGAAGTCTTATGGGACATTGGATGTTCGGTTCCAGCCAAGATGAAGTAAGTCAACTCTAGCCTACCTTTTTCAGTGATTACAGCCAAAAACAGGATAAAATTCAAAAAAAAAACCATGCCAAATACATAAAACATCTGAAAAGTAAACAATGTCAGGTCGATTGAGGGCTAAAGTCAACACTTGAATAACAACACATAGCCTGAGTGAGTTTTACAGAGTTTTTTTTTTCTTCTTTATCTCATGGATCTGACCTGGAATGGTATATAAGGCACTGTTGAAAAAATACCAGAAGAAATCACCTCCTGGTGACCAGAATACCAGGAAGAGCAACCCCTGCACAACAGAGAGCATAAGAGAAACCACAGATACTATCTTACATGCTTTGTTTTCTCCTTTGTCTCCTAGCTCTGCCCTGAGACCAGCCCAGCCACTAGGCTGCATTGTCATAGCAGCAGAGGCAACATGGGACCTAAAATTCCCGAAGAAAATCCATCTCTCTATGGAAAGCAGGCTGTGCTGATCAAAGAATGGGAGCCACTCTGTCACTTTTTTTCTTTCTTTTTTCTTGTTGCCTTATTCCCAAAGACAACCCCTTTCACACAGAACACAAGAATAGTGCAGGAAACTAAAACTTGGAGAGAACCCTAGCTTTTTAGCCATAAGAACCAGGAGAGGGAGCCCCCCTATGGGATGGAGACTATAGGGAAATGTCGTAGAGGAAAGGATACCTTTTAACTCTAATTGGGAACCTACATAAATTGGGAACCCAGAGGGTACGCCCAGCAATGCACATGCATAGCAAAGGCTTCAAACACTAAACAACCGAAGCCCCAGGTTGAACTCTGAGCAGAACGTGTGACAGACAGACCCAAATATCATAACAAATGCTTGAAAACTGAATCAGCATTAGAATCACAGAAGGTGAGATACAACTTGCACTCTAAACCCAAGCCAATTAATACCTGCTAACACAAGCAAACAAGAAATTCAACATTCTCCAGAGGATTTTAACAGAAACTGGAATCTCATAACATAATGTTCAAAGTATTCTGGATACAATCCAAAATTACTTAATGCACAAAGAACGAGGGAAATCTGACCAATGTGCAGGAGAAGAGAAAATTAACAGATGCCAACCTCAGTATTACTCCAATTGGGATTGCCAGACACAGACTTTAAAACACCTATTATAACCAGAAGGTAATGATAAATATTCTTTAAATAAATAGAAGGATAAAGTTCTCAGCTGAGAAAAATAATTTTTAAAGTAGAGTTAAATGGCGATTTTTAAACTGTAAGATAAAATATCTGAAGTGAACAATTCACCAGATGAGCTCCACAGCAGGATGGAGACGACAGAGGTGAGATGACTTCAAGATAGATCAATAGAAGTTACATAAGAAAAAGAACAGAAAGAAAAAGATTAAGAAAAATAACAATACCATAGGGGGCTTGTCAACTTAACATTCATATCATTGGAATCTCCAGAGAAGAAAAGAAAGAGATTGATTCAGAAATATATTTGAAGAATGTCAGGAAACTTTCCAAATTTGGTGGAAGACATATGTTTTCAGATTCAAGAAACTCAATAAATTCCAATCAGATTAATATAAAAAAATTATACCCAGACAGATCATAATCAAACTGTTGAAAACCAAAAGTAAAGAAAATATGTTAAAGCAGCTGGAAAAAAATAAATTCCACATTAAGGAAACTATGCCTGCAGATTTCTTATCAGAAACTAGGGCATCCAGAAGACAGATAATATCTTCAAAATGCAGGAAAACAAACAAACAAATAACTGAAAGGAAACTACTGCCAGAATCCTATATCCAGCAAAAATATCCTTCAGAAATAGAGATAAAATAAAAACATTCTCAGATGAAAGGAAACTAAGAGAATGTATGGCCAGCAAAATTTAAAAAAAAAAATAAATACTAAAGAAAGTTTTTCTGGATAAGGGAAAATTATACCAGGAGAAAATATAGAACTTAAGGAACAAAGAAAAAACAAGAAAACTTATGAATATTTGGATAAAGAGTATTTTTTCTTCTTAAATTCTTTAAAATATGTATGACTGTTGAAAGACAAAATTGTAACATTGTTTGTAATGTTTCAATGTGTCTAGGTGTAATACAAATGACAGCCACAATATAAAGGGGGAGAATGAAGAACCTATGTGGATATAGGCATCTATATTTCACTTAAAGTTGTAAAATATTATTTCTATGAATACTGTGAAAAGTTAGTTATATACTTTATCCTTAGAGCAACTACTAAAAAATACATAAAAGATACGCAGTCAAAAAGCTAACAAATAAAACAAGATGAAATACTGTGAAATATTCAAATAATCTAAAAGAAGCCAGTAAAAAGAATAAAACATCTCAGGTACGTAGAAAACAAATAAAACAACAGGTTTAAATCCAACCAGAGGAACAATTATATTGAATATAAACTGTCTAAGCACCAATGAAAAGAAAAAGACTTTCAGATTGGATAAAAAACAAAACCCAATTACATGCAATCTATAAGAAAATGTGGGGTTTTAAAAAAAGATTTTATTTATTTATTTTTAGAAAGGAGAAGGGAGGGAGAAAGAGTGGGAGAGAAACATCAATGTGTGGCTGCCTCTCACACGCCCGCTACTGAGGACCTAAACTGCAACCCAGGCATGTGCCCTGACTGGGAATCAAGCCAGTGACCCTTTGGTTCACAGGCCAACACTCCATCCACTGGACACGTGACGTTTTTAAATATATCATAATATAGATAGATCTAAAGTAACATGATGGTGGATATGGACAACAGTGTGGTGATTGCTGGGGTGAGAGGAGCATAAGGAAACTGATCGGTAATGGGGAAAATAGAATAAAGATCAACTTTTTTTGAAGAAAGTAATATGATGGACAAAAACACACGCCATGCAAACAATAATCAAGAAAGCGAGACCACCTATATTAATTTCAGACAAAGTAAACTTCAGAACAGGAAAAACTACCAGAGATAAAGACAGACATTTTATAATGACAAAGGGTAAATTCACCAAGAAGATGCAATACTAAATGTGTATGTCCCTAACAAGACAGTCCCAAACACATGAGACAAAAGCCGACAGCACTGAAAAGAAATAGAAAAGTCCACAATTACACCCGAACATCATGGGACCATTAATCCAAAACTCTGGGCCACAGTTTCCCAGGAGGTGTTATGAACACTGACCCTCTCTGTTCCCACAAGGAAATGACCCTCCTCCAGACAGTTCGGAGTGAGTGTGACACGTGTTCGATGCTGTGAGAATCCCACCCTAGCCAGCTGCAGAACTGCGAGCATGGTCAGACGTTAGCTATTTGATGACATTTTAGAGAAAATCAATAGCAATCTCTCTGAGAAACCTGAGAAAACTCAAACATAACATTGGCGGTTTCTCATGAACAAATGTTTTTACATTCATCCTTTTCTTTCCCACTGTATCCAGATTTTGCTTTAAGGGAAATATGCCTCGCCCAGATTGAGCCGTGATCAACTTAAATCAGTAAGTACAGTTTACCCTCCTGACTGCAGTGATTGGTCAGAGGTGGGCATTCAACTCAGCCAGAGCGAATGGGATGCAAGGACAAACTTGCCGGGCCTTCCAGTAGAGAAAACCTCTCCTCTTAGGAACCACCAGAAAAACGAATGTCCCTTTGACTAGATGATGTGGTGAGAAGGTGTGACAGCTGGCAGGCTACCGTCTTTTTGACATCAGGAAGAACAGCCTAGAACTACACTGGGTAGAGCCTGAGTGTGGCCTACACTGCTGATGACAGAGTGGAAGGACACACGGAAAAGTGTCTTTAATGATATCATCTGAGCCTCTGGTCGACAGATTGGCTCTGGTATTTTGTATTATGCAAGAAAAATTATTTTTTGCTTGTTTGTCTGAGTTGGGTGTCCTGTCATTCACAACACAGAGTCCTGACCAACCCAAGGTTTACTCTTCGTCTCTCTCTAAACCTCACGTCTTTCTCCAAAAATGAAAACGAAACCCATGTGATGCAAGTGCTTCTGCTTTTAATGTGGGAGGGTAGCTTTACTTGTAGAAAATAATAATACAAAATCATGTAAAAGACAAAGTTTCATAGGTAGGAATAATAATCACTTAATGAATAGCAGTGCATATATAAAAGGAAATCATTAAGAATTTAAAACTATAAGCAAAAAAATAGGTTTTCCATTTCTATGTTTGTACAGAATGCTATTTTTTAACTTTTTAAAAAATTTTTATTTAGTTATTTTTCAAGTACAGTTTTCTGTCTGTTTCTCCCATCCCAGCCCACCCCGCCCCGTGCTCCCCACCTCCCTCCCATTTCCACCCCCCTTAGTCAGAATGCTATTAACTCTGCTTTTGCTAAGCCAATTTGAAGAGCATTAGTTAGTTAAGTTATTATCTCCTGAGAGGATGTTTACTGCTATCAACTACTTGTAATTCTCTTTTTCTTTTTAAGGAATATTTTGCAATTACAATTATATATTTTTTACATTTAAGGTATATAATTTTATTGATTTGATATAGATGTACATTATGAAATAATCACCACAATCAAGCTAATTATCATTCACATCAAGTAGTTATTATTTTCTTTCCTTTTTTGATAATTCTTAAACAACAAGAGTAGATTCAGAAAGCCCAGTTCTCCCCAGACTCTGCTGCTACTCAAGGTAAGAACGGTTTTCAAATTCCTTTGTGGACTTTGCACTGCAGGCTCAAGCTAGCTCCTTGAGGAAAAATTATTCAAATGTTCTAAAAAGCACAATCATTCCTAACCTCAATGAAAATTATTCAAACTGTACAGTAGAACAAGGATTAAGTGCTTAACTCAGGGAGTTTCTAAAATAACAGTGTTTTTGAAGGTACAGATTAGTTATACAACATGAAGAGACTCAAATGGAGTTAATTCTGGGTAGATGTGAGATTCAGGAGACTGGTCTTCATGAGGCATTTACCAAGAACCTGGAGGGTGATTCGGATGTGGAGGAAACATGGTCCTGCTGGAAGTTGTCTTTGGCCTTGGGGAAGATGATGCCCCTGCCCAGGGCTCTCATTCAGAATAACACCTGGAGAAGCACAGGGGTGCCATATGCAAGGAAGGGTTGCAGAACTTTCAGAGAAGCTTCCTGACCAGGTAGCTCTGAGGAACCTGGAGGATTTCAACACGTGGAAATTGGTGGTAGCTTTCTGGATTAGAGAGAAGAGCATGAGGAAAGAGAAGTGCAGGGCTTATTGAGTGATCCAGCTGAAATGGGACCTGGTCATAGAACCGCCTGCTCTCTCAGGGAGCTCTACTGGGAAAAGATTTAACTCATGATGAAGTACAATTCAGAGGCCCTCAGGTGAGATGGATGAGAGACGCCACCCCCAAATAACATCCTAAAGAGGCCAAGTACTTCTAAAAAAAGGACACAGTGTAATAGAAAAGTTCCACAGCCCTGAGTGTGACTTCTAGCTCCACCCCTTCATAGTGACCACTGGCAATCACTTAACTCTCTAAGCCCCAGGACCCCAGTGTAAAAAGAGGAGAGTAAGCTTTTCTGTGTACCTCGCAGGATTGGCATGAACATGAGGAGAAACAGTGGACACAGAGTGACACTGTCAAATACTTTCTTATAGTCAGTTATCTTGTCATGTTTGTGAAGCTCTCCAGTAAATGCTATTATCCTTTTACTGCCACTATGTACTAGATCCTTGAGGAAAGGGAACACATCTTCTTTAGGACTGAGACTATACTATATGATTTTTTAAAGTACTTGGTGAATGAATGAGTAAATACATGAATAATGTTCAGAACTCTCTGACTAAATAATAACATCAGCCTCCTAACCAAACTGAAAACCTGTGGACTGTTCTTTGACTTCTGGGTTGTTTGGCCCAGGGGAGTCTCTGTGTGAGTGGTCATCAGTTGGTGTCATGGTAGAGAAGAAAGCCTGTGAAGGTGGAGTCATTGACATTATCTGCATAGAGCCCGTTATGCTCCCCAGCCCCATACACCTGCAGCCAGACTTGGTCACCCGTCTCCAGATGCAGGAGCACAGAGCTGGAGGCTTGGTCCAAGTCCTTGTCCTGGTATTGGTCAAAGGTGAAGAGCACAGCTTTGTCATTCTTGTAGAGGCTGACCTTCACATCCTTCAGGTAGACTGTAATGTGGTAGGAGAAGTAGTAGAGCCCAGGGATGTTGCAGTGGAATTTGCCAGTGGTGCCATCATAGTGGTTTTGTTGATTGTAGAAGATTTTGGTAAAGCGAATGGGAACATTGGGGACAGTGACTCGAGTCTCCAATCCTACACTGAATGCTGAGCGGTAGACATAGGCACTTTCTCCAGGTTCTCCGTTCCTGCCTTGGACTCCTGGAAAGCCTCGGGGACCTTCCAACCCAGGAACTCCGGTTTGGCCAGGGTCACCCTTAGGACCAACAAGACCTAAAGAATGAGAAGACCTCAGTGACCACAAGAAACATAATTCCCAGCTAAGTTGGTTCCAACTAAAACACTGTCCTGTTAGTCCATACACACAACCTGCTTCACTTACATAGCAAAGAACCAGTGGGAGTTCCCAAAAAGGAGTTAGTTATACCTCCTATCTCCACATCACCCCAGCAAGCTCCCATAAATTCTTTCAAACCTTATGTTCTATAAGTCTGCATCATCGATCCTCCACTGGTCAACTCCTTATGTGCTGGCTCAATCAACCATACCTTTGCTCTTCTATCCCATTTGTGTAGGATGCCCTCCCTCCTTTATTCTGTCCACTCATCTTTCAAGACCTAGCTTAAGCCTTTCCTCCTTCTTTAAGCCTTCATTGTTAATCCAAGTGTGCAATGAGAGCATTTATTTCTGTGTTCCATATTCTGTCATTTGTCCACATTCAATTTGGCATATTTTGAGCAGACTTCTTTATAGTAATCTCTCACAGAGTCTTGTGCACTAGACTTATCTTCTTATCAAGACCAAGAGTTTTCCAGGAGGAGGACTGTGACCTGCAGGAGGTGTACATGAAGTGTGGCTGAATGCCGCTGGATGGAATGGGAATTAAGGAGAAATGAATAGAAATAGGAATATGAAGTAGTTGGGAATAGAGATGGATGGATGAAGGTGGGAATGGAAAAGGGGACAGGGAAGGAGGTATGGATAGAGCAGCATAAAGGATACTTGATTTTACAGGTACCACTTCTTCTCACCACTGGAAAGCCAACCCAAATTGACTTTACATTGCTTATGAGTCACATAAAGGAAACTTTACTTTATCCCTGTGCCTAAGCCTTAGACAATAACTAATACCCTTGTATAGTCCTAGAAGCCCTCCTCTACCCAGGAAAAGTCTGATGGAGAAGACCAAAAACTTGTTCTTACCTCCATCTCCTTTCTCACCCTTCTCGCCAGGGATGCCATCTCTGCCATCACGGCCTGGGATCCCATTGTGTCCCGGATGCCCTGGGATGCCCGCCATCCAACCACTGCAGACTCCGCTGGGTGGGGCAGGCAGATCTCCAGGCTCCTTCATGGTGGGATCCTGACCGTGACTAGGGAGGACTAACAGTAGTAGCACAGCTTGTGGCAATAGCATCCTGGGGCCTGGAATCAGGTCAGACATGAAAGAACAGACCCCACATAACACGTGCATTAAGATCCAAGCCAGACTCTCACCATCTCAGTCAGGTTCACTTCTGAGACCTGCTCTTCCAATTCCTCACCTCTTCCAGGAAGATTTTTCTATTCCAACTCACCTCAATCTTTTTCTGCCCTGCCATTTGCAATATTTAACATATTTCTTGTGTGCAATGTCCTTTCCTCAACAGGCTTGTGAGTTCAGTGATGGCACAAGACCACCCCACCATTTTCCTCGTGCCTGAGCACAGGCCCACGCACAGGGAAAGCTCCAAGAGTCACCTTGTCAAGAATCTTTCCCTTGAGTTTTCCAAGAATGTTAACTCGGATCATTCCATTCAATTCAAACCAACTCTTCTCTCTTGGCTCCTTTTATTTTCTTTTTCACTTCCCTTTTCTTTATTTTTTATGCCTATTCTTCTTCCTTTTTCTCCCATACCCCTTTTTCCTGCCCCCTCTCTCCTGGGTGATGTTAGGCCATTTGATATATTACACACATGCACCTACACATGCACACACATGCACAGTGTACACACACACAGCCTTGCCTTCATGTATTCAGACAACCAGGGACACATTGTCCTGGGAAAATATCCACTGACCACTTGCCTGGGCCACCCTTAGCTGCACCTCTTTGTATGCCTGATCCCCATGCAGGCTTCAGGACTCAATCAAGATGTCACCTCTCAGGAACACCTCCAGTTCTCTCCATCCCAGCTGGGTTGGTTGTTTCTCCTTGCACTCCCCAGTGCCCTCACTTATCTCCAGCACTGCACTTCTTGCACTGTACTGTAATTCCTAATTGGTTCGTGCATTTACCCCAACTAAACCACAAGTATAGGGGAAGGGAGGGAGGAAGAAAAGAAGAGAAAAAGAGAGACAGAGGGTGGAATATATTTGAAATATGTATGATGGGAGCCCAAGCAAAAAGCTCAAGTGGCACAGGTGGCCAAGGGTCTCCTGTTTCAGAATCGTCCCTCCACAGGTTCCCCATACCTGCACCAGAAGGTGCTCCTTTGCATGTCTAGGGACGCTGGTACCCTCCTAGCTTCTGCCTCTGGTATTAGGCTGATCTTATCCCCCACATCTGATTGCCAGAGTCTTAGTCTCCATCCCTAAAGTCCTCCAGGTCGCTGAAAGCTCCAAAGAGAGGGAAACATGTTCTAGGACTCTGGATCACAGGCATCAATAAAACCCTCTGTCGAATTTGAAAGGTGATTAATCCCAAGAACATGATTCTAAACAAAACACAGTCCATATGTATTTTATTTACTGTAAACACTAACTATTTTCCATCAGTTTGCTGACCTCTCATAGATTACACAAATTCTCCAGAATTGGGTTTGGCTTCAGGAGACAGCTCCTCTGTGAGGGATGCAGGAAAGACCCCGATTGGCGATCTTACCTCCAAAGATGTGCATGGTGTCTGGAATCCACTCCTAAGCCCCTTTGCCTGGGGCTGTATGTGACAAAACCACCTCATGTTTCACATGTATACTCATGTTTCATATGTGTGTACACACATATATACACATATACATATATACACACACGTGTGTGTATCATTAAAACTAGTAATATAAACATATGTGAAAGCTACAGAAAACAAAACAATCCTCAATCCCAAGGATTTTTCTGTTATTTTTCTGTAGTGCAAGCATACTTTACAGAGCTATTTTATTCCCCTGTTTTGCCTTGTCTTTTTCTAGTTTTCACAATCAGCACTTTAAATGTGTGTGTGCTAGTCCATCAAATGGATACAGCCAAAATATACATAACCATTTCCATTTTGCTGAACTTTTAGCTCATTTCCACTTTAAAATATTATTTTAAAATCTGTAACAAATATCTTCAGGCATATAGTTTATCCCCAAATTCTTATTCTGTTATGACATATTTCCAGAAGTAAAATTACTGGACCAAAAGGTATGAACATTTTCAAGGCTCTTGATGCATTTTCCCAAACTCCAGTTTTTTACATTGTTACCCAGTAGCATGTCAGTATATTCATAAAAGAGCCTATTTTAATGACTGTCATCAACTTTGGATATTATCATTAAAAACACTTTCTGTTGCTGTTAGTTGAGTGAACAAAATACATGGTCCTCACTACTTTGATCATTAGTAAGCTGTGCATTTTATTAAACGTCTGTTTTCCAATTTAATTTTCTATTTTCATTTAACTTCCTTATTCATTCCAAAAACTCTGTCAGTGGTTTTAGTCACTTATGTTGTTAAGGGATACAATGTGCTTTTTGAATTAATGTGTGTGAGTTCTTTACATGAGGCCTCTGTTACATATGCTATGATTATTCCCAAGATGTTTATTGATTTGAGAAAGGAAGAGAGAAGCATTGATATGAGAAGGAAACATCAATCAGCCACCTCCAGTGCATATCCTGACCAGGGATTGAACCTGAAACCTTTTTGGTGACTCCAACCCACTGAACCACGCAGCCAGGGCTAAAGGCATCTTTAAATTAATCCTCTCTAGTGACCTGATGCACCACTTATCAGACATCAAGTTCAAATATAATCTTATAAGTAGAGTGAGAATTGAGAAGATGGAGAGGAAGACAGAAGCAGAGGCAACACAGCAACAGGTGCTGACAGGCACAGATGCTGCCCCTTGGTGGTGATGAGTCTTTAGGCAAGGCTCACTCTTAGCCTATACGTGTAACTTTGTCGCCCCCTACTGGATGTAGAGGGCTCGGGAGGGTGTCTTCAGTAGGTGGGAATACAATGACAGGGGTTTAGGCTTAGATTGTCCCAAGGTAAGAAAGAGGTGAGTTGAGTGAGAAGCCAAGGAAGAGAAACCAACCAAACCCTTTTTTAAAAAATTGAAAAAAGAGTTTATTTTTATTTATTTTTAGAGAGGGGAAAGGGGGAGAAAGAGAGAGAGAGAAACATCAAAGTGTAGTTGCGTCTTGCACACCCCCCTCCAGGGACCTGGCCTGCAAGCCAGGCATGTGCCCTGACTGGGATCCGGGCCAGGGACCCTTTGGTTTGCAGTCCAGCACTCAATCCACCGAGCCACACCAGCCAGGCCCTTTTATATTTTTGGAGAATACCTGTTCTGAGACTTTAAAGACTTCATGTGTTTTTAAACTTTTCCACTATTCCTCACTTCCATTCTTTCTCCTTATGGGGTTAGCACTAAAACTCCTGACAAGACCTCTGAGAGGCTCTGGGCTTGTTTTCTCCAGAAATGAGGAAGGCAGAATCTATGAAGCTGTGTGTTTCACCCCACAGACAAATATGAAGAGGGAATCCAGAATACGAGAACTGGTGGAGGCAGCTACGGCAGGCCCCAAAGAGCACAGGCGATGGAGGGCCTCCCCCAAAAATGTTGAAGGGAATGCATCCTCGCAGCTCAAGAGATGGCATTCTGTCTCAGCACTTCAGTGTGATGGACGGATTTTTCCACTAATGGGCACAACAGAGTTCCCTGACAGCGGCATGGGGCGGAGGTACTGAAACAAGGGTGGAGGGAAGATGGGTGCATGATACGAGGAAGTCTCTGAAGCTAAGAACAGATCGGAGTCAAGATTGTCTTCTAACCTAGTTCTGGGTGAAAAAATCAGTAATTGATAACAATTGACAGTCAGTGCCGAGGTGCCTAAGTTTCAAAAAACTATTCTAAAATTATCTATGCTCTTTGTTTACATATAATACTTGTTATGCTTAGATTTTGAAAAACTTCTATTTCCACAGGGAAAATTATTAAATGAAATTGTGTGATATAAGACTAAATTATGCATATAAAGAAACCTTTTAGAAACTCTTTTTCTTTTATCAATTCTAGAGAGAAGGGAAGGAAGGGAGAAAGAGAAAGAGAGAAACATCAATGTGAGAGAAAAACACAGATTTGTTGCTTCTTGCATGCACCCCAAACCGGGGACCAAGCCTGCAACCCAGGCATATGCCCTGACTGGGAATCAAGCTGGCTACCTTTCGGTTTGCAGAATGACACAGAACCAACTGAGCCACACCAGCCGAGGCATAAAGAAACCTTTCACTTCCTATTTATTTGCTGCTATAGTCTTTTCAATGGTATGAGCAGTTGTATGCATGGGTAAAGTAACATCAGGCCATTGTAAACTGAAATGGAATAACCGTTTAACCTCTTCTGCATGCAAAGTCCAGACATTGCTTCCACGCCCTATGTCCTTATGTAAGCAGAATTTAGTCAGAGTGCTTACAGTGAATTTCTACATAGACTTATTTTATGAAACATTGATTTAAGAATGTCACTTTATTTATTTACTAGCACTAAGCCTCGTTACATATGCATCAGTTACCTTATGTGGGGCAAATGATTTCATGTGTGATATGATGGAACGCTCTTTACATGATGCTTTTTTTGTGTGGGGAAGAGAGTTTTGAAGTCAAAATCTGTGGTTCCAGGTTGGGGTTCTGTACAAGCAGCCCTTTCCATGTACCTCAAAAACCACACAACCAGCATGGGGTCCCGGGAACAGCTTGCCATTACAGAGTTTGCATAACCTCTTCTTGTTATTTCTAGTTCACTGGCAGTTAATGCTGTCCATGACTCCACTACTCTGGCTGCAAAGTTCAGAGCTTTTCATAATGAGGCTTAAGTTAATCCAGAATATAAAAATCTGAAATGGGTTCGTCTTGATCTGGTTAATAGTAAATCTCAAGACAACAAAATAAGCAGGGTTGTTTGAATCAACCATAGTTAAAGTTAAGGGCTTGAAGTTTGCAACACAGGCTGCAATCACCATTCTTTGAATAGATGATTTTATTAAATTACATAGAGAAAGCAAATATGGTAAGCATGGAGGTGAAGAAGATGCTGTTCACCCAGGAGGCCTTGATGACTGATCTCTCTTTTATTTATAATGTTGTAAGATGCAGTTGTCTTATACCTGTGTATTATACATTAAAGTACAATAAGCTGTTCAAAAAAGAGAGAGAAACCTTTTACATGAATCATGAAGCTCAATGCCAAGTTTCACTTATAATTTTTTGTTTCATAGAAAGTCTTTACCTCGCTGAATAGCTCCCTTAATTCTCACATCTGTTCTGAGAAACAGCATTAGGCAGACATAGGGGCATATGCTCCATGATCTCAGTGCTTCTTACTTGTAACATGCTTTGCCCTTAGCAGTTGGAGGCTTATGTGGCATAACCCATATAATGTACTTAGAACACTGTCTCTCACATGTCAGTGTTCAATAAATGTTAGCTCTGGTTATATCCATTTTAGAGATGAGGAATGTGAGCTTCAAGGTTAAGTGACTGTCTGAGATTTCAGAACTACACATGGAGGAACTGGAAATCAAATTCTGGTCTTCCAAAGCCTCCAATGGGCTCTGAGGCATAGTCCAGAGGAGGAAAACAGCATCAGGGTCATCCATCCGCCTTTTACTTGTCTACTCCATGGGAGGGGACATAGACAATACCATGAACAAACCTCCAGATCATGGTGCAAGTGACCTCGTTCCGAGTCTAGTCTCTACCATTCCCTCACTGGGTGACTTACCTGCCTCTACCCCACTTCTTGGCATCATACTCTTTGCCTGAAAAAGTGATTATTAATGATCCTGATCTTTATGTAGTTTATTTCACATTATTACTGTATGAACCAATTGACTAAAAATATAAAAAAATATTTTCTAAATTTATAAAGTGTCCCACATATATAAGTGAAGAGCAAGGAAGCAAACACATACACACACTTACAGACCACCTTTATGGACCACTTCTTTAATCTCATCTCATCCCCACAACTCCAGAAGGCAAGATTCAATTCCCACAAGATGAATCTGAGAACCAGAGAAGTTTGGTGACTTCTGCCCATGGATAACAAGTGAAAGCGCACAGAGGTGCCATTTGAAATTCAAAGGCTGAGTTCTTCCTACTGCACTGGCTTTCATGGCACACCCATGCACAGGATCTGCTCGCTTCTAAAGTTACACAAGGGGACAATCGTGATATTCTTTGGCTTCTCAGGGGCCATATTATGAGCTATCATTTTCCTATGTTAAAATGTATGATAAATTCCACTTTGACCTGCTGAAATTTCAGTCACAACAGCAGAATCTTGTGAAATACAAGGATGATGAGGTCTCCTCTGGGACTGGCAGGGGACAGAGCAGTATGGGGAAAAGAAGTCACCCAGTGCCAACTCTTCCAGCAGGAAAGGGCATTAAAGCACAGTTCACAAAGTTCCTGGGAGACAGAAGGGACCCCAGAAACCATTCTACCTCTGCCCTGTTTTTACAAATTGGGGGCAAAGGGTAAGGAAAGGGATGCATTTCTTAGATTTGCCCCAAAACGAGCTCCCACTCGAGGAGCTTTTACACATGATTGTATTTATCGTTTATTTTAATCTTTACTAGAATTCCATGAAGTAATGAAAATAATCCCACCTTTAGAAATGAGGAAACAGAAAGATTAAGGAGATGATCCCTGTAAAATTCCCGTCAGGCTTTCGAAACAATGGGCTTTCCATCACAGTACACTGCCTCTAAAAAGGCTTCCTGGACTCAGCTTCTGAATCGGCTAAATGATGTCATGTAAGATGAGGACCATGAGAACACAGTGGAACTGGAAAGAGTACTTTGGAGGATAAATTGCATGAGGCACTTTCAATTCTTATTTCATTTCACCCTCCCCATCGCCCTGCATTTGTCTTCATTGTATAGAAGAATCTGAGACTCGAAGAGACCAGGATGCTGGCTTGAAATCATACAACTCTTGGTTGGAATAATAGGAACTTTCTGTTTTTAAAGGTCAAAAATGGTAGAATACTGGCAATTTCAATGGCAGAAGCAGGAATCAACTCAGCTCCCTACCTGAAAGCTTTAACTCAATCCTGGGAAAGCTGTCAGCATCCCAATGGCCAGATATCACATACACACACACACACACACACACACACACACACGGTCATATTCTCAAAGAAGTGGTAAAGCAGAGTATCTCTCCACCAGTTTTTTAGGACCTGTCTCTCTGCACATGAAGGAATTCCTGATTGAGAGCTTCTTATCTGCAGACCCTCTATGTTCTGACCTCATTCAAGTGTCTGGGCTGCTAGTCTTCTGGCTTGACAGGAGTAGATGGGAAGCTCGTCCCTGCAGTGACCTCAGAAAGGACCAGATGCAAGTCCTCTGTCTTTCTTTATGACTCCTCAAGAATTAAGGGACAGCAGCCACAAGTCCTGCCAATTAAGTTGCAGAGCTCCCTTTCTACTGTTCTGCTTCAACCACAAAGTGGATACCCTTGTGCTCCTCTGGGCATATGCGGCCAGTATGAAGGGCTCCCCTGCTCCCCAACGTTGTTGGGGGGAACCAGCCTTACCCTTAATAAAGGAGTCACCGGGAGTGAGGTGGCTGCACCCCTTGCAAGGCTGGACCTGAAAGCCAGAACCCTCCCAGACCAGGGACCCACACCCTCCTACACATGAGGACTGGTTTGAACTCTAAAACGCCTCTCACTCTGACCTCTGCGTCTACAAGAGCTGATAACATCCAGGATGCTTCAAACACTGTGCTCACTGGGGCAAGCAGAACTGAGCTTGTCAAAGGCCAAGCGGATCCAGTTGTTTCTGTCAGAAAGATGTCTTCTAAAAATAACATTTTTCGTAAGCTCCCAGTGTATGCCAGGGCCTTTGCTCACTTTGTCTCATTTGAACTTCTTGATTACCCTGTGAAATATCCCTTCCTCTCCATAGATATTCCCATATCTACAGATTGCCCCAAATCTATACGCAACAACCATATTTTATTCATTTTTTATCTCATGAGCCCCGCCCGGTATCTGGCCCATAGAATAATATTTGCTGAGTAGAATCATGTGGTAGAGCTGGATTTCAAACTGAGTCTGAGGTGGGAGCTCAGGCTTTTCCCATGTTGCCTCTTCTCGTGCTTCTTTCTGTGAGAAGAGGTTGATCCCCTTGTCCTCTCACTTAATTGGACTCTATCACTGGACCAGCCCCCCACCACACTGACCCTAACTTTTTCTCTGGGTAGGCATCTTGCCACCTAGTGAACTGAGCAAAATTCAAGATGGTCTCAAGTATTTTGACCAGAAGAACAGCCCCTTTTCTCTTGGAGCTGTGAGAGAACTGAGGAAGCTGTCCTGGCTAGAGTTTTGCTGTATCCATCACCATCCTGCTACAATAGCAGAGTGTGGTACACCCCAGCCAGAGGCCCCACTGATGGCAGTTGCCCCCACCTCCAGCCTCAAACTGTTATCCAATTGCTCTTACCTTCAGGTGTGGGATCAGACCCACAGACTGTAATCAGGATGGAAGTGAGGAGGAGATGGTCCAGACTCTGCAGCCTGGTACTCATGGAGGCAGGCAGTCCCCACCTCAGAGTTGTCGCTTCCCATTGGCCAACACAGTAAGGGTCAGAGACCAATGGGCAGGCACTGTGCCCCTGGCAGCTCTCCCAGGTCCCTTCTCCAGGGAACTGGGGCAACCCAGCTTGGTTTGGGAAGGCCAAGTGGAACTTCAGTCAGACATTCATGTTCCCAGGCCTTTATTTTTGCTTCCTATAAGAGCAATAGAAGATGGGGTAAGAATCAAGACCAGAAGCAGAAAAACAGTATACTTCTGCATTGCAAGAAAAACTTCCTCATGTAACATAAATCACCCAGTGATCCAGGGGACCCCCCTGTTGCCACAAATTTTCCCTAAAAGCCAGAGGCACCCATTGTCACCATCGCACTCCTGGTCATTGTGCGTGATGAGGTATGAAACTGCGTGGCTCAGCCGTTGGCACACAGAAGAGGAGCACAGTTGGGGGGCATTTCATAGACTAAGAAATAGATCACATCTCCGCCCTCTGGTCTGGACCCCAGATTTGTGAGAGACTTCGTGTGTTAATTCTGAGAACTCAGGTAGGGGAAGTCTCTGGGTGGTATGAGACAGGGCCGGATTATGAACTTTAGAGGCCCCCGAATCCCAAAAGTTTATGGAGCCCCCCACCCCTTTGTAACTCACATTCAATATAACAGGAAACTGACATAAAATGTGATATAGAATGCCATCTTCCAAGATTTTTCTGGTTCCAAAGTTCTAAGTGAGCCTTTGAAGAGGGGCTCTTTGAAAACCTCAGTATGTGAGGTTTGTTTTTTTTTTTTTTTTACCAGTACCTTAAGCTTGCCTAACCACCTATCATGGAATCCAGCATTGGGCTGGAAAGGCCCAGAGGACCACAGGCTGACACCCACACTGGTGTTCCTAGAAGGCTTAGACTTGAAATAGCAACATTCATCACCTTGGACTCTTTCTTGGCAAACCCATATTATATGATTGAAGGGCAGGATCAAAGCTGGTTCTTGCAAGCCACAAATTCTGCTTCATTAAATCATGATCCCAGCAATAACTTTTAAAAGACATTCAGAAATAGAATATTTTCAGGCATAGGCTGGGCAGGTAAGTGTCTGCTTGCCCCCAGATACCACCTCCACTGGCCACACAGAGCTCGAGTCCACCGGCAAAGTAAAGTAAAAGAAGGACCCAAGGCCTCGGCCTTCTCCTAATAAAGTAAGTCTTCACTTAACATTATCAATAGTTTCTGCAACTTTAAGTGAAGTGACATAAAACAAAATCAATTTTATCATTGTGTAACTGATATAAACAAGAGTTAAGTTCCTACAGCATCTCATCAACATCATAACAAAACATTGAATGAAGCAGTTACGGCGTGCTCTATGCATAGTGTGCCATATGCAAATATTTCCAGAGAGGTCACATTAGGCCATTAAATTTTTTAATTGAATTTACTAGGGTAATATTGGTTGATAAAATAATATAGGCTTCATGTGTACGGCTCTATAATATGTTATCTGTATAATGTATTATATGTTTACCACCCAAAGTCAAGTGTCCTTCTGAAGCGTGCACTAGCCCGCAGTGCCCATGGCATCATGGATGAGATATGAGACAAATTCACATGGACTACTGAGTCCTGTGGAGGAAAAGAAACAGCCCGGCTACTCCCTCAATGGCAGAGTGCCTCAGAACGGCCTGGCCACTCTCTCAAGGGAAGAGCGCCCTGACCCTTGCCTAGACAGGCTTTTATTGGGTTTAATTTGCACAGGATACAGGTACAGCTCATTAATCATTGTCAGGCAGTAAGGATCAAACAGTAGATAGCATACAAAGAACTATTAGGGCTTCTTCTGCGTCAGGGTCTATCAGCTAAAAGGCTACAAAACTTTGGGAAACAATCTCATTTCCTGCTCGGACCTTTATCATTTAACTAAGAGCATTCTTAGCAAAGCAGGCTTCTCAGGATTTTACATATCTTTTCTCAGGCCTGATCACCCAGGTAGCCCACCCTTTCCGAACAGGTCTGCACCTCCCTCTGTCATTGTTTCGGGTTTAAGTCAGACAGACAGGGAAAGATAGCCAAGGAATTAGGAGAAATGAGGACTCAAGCTTCACCAAAGTCAAGGAGCGAGGGTCCGTCACCCACTTTCTCCATAGCCCCCCAAGTCCTTCCTTGGGGCCTCCATGTGATCATGCCTGTCTTAGATCCTCCCCCCTCCCTCCTCCCCATGGGGAGTCTTACCCACCATTGGCTAACTGGGCAAGCGCTGGGGGCCAGTTATGAAAAAAGGAGCAGAAGCGGTACTCCTGCCAGGGAGATCAGCTTTGTCTCCTTAGTGGCTTATGGTTGAAGGTCGCTCACTCAGCCTTAGCCATGGGGGGATTACAGCTCCTGAAACCAGGCAGGGCAGTTCCCAACATCCTTCCACCACCATTTGGCCATTAAAGTTAGTCATGTGACCTTTTCCAAGGGCTCACTGGCTTAGACAAGGGGCCTGTGAAAAAAAAAATGAAGTTCTATACAATTTACCAGATAGGCTGAACCAAAGAGAAAACACAGAGAAACTGCAGTAACTGTCTGCTTCACCACTGTTTCATTTTTATTGAGGCATTTTCTTATTTATTTTTTGGTCTGTGTTACCATCTTTCTCCCCTGACTAGAATGCAAACTTCAAAGAGCTGGCATACTGCCTGTTCAGCACTGTGTCCCCCAGCACCCAGAATAAGATCTGGTACAAGGTAGGCAATTATAAACGTTGAATCAATGAAAAAGTAAATGGTTATAATGTTCTTTTGGAGATAGCTATGATTGTTTCCCATTGTACAAATAAAGTATCTAGAGCTCAATGAGGTTAAGTAACTCCTCCAAGGCACAGATTGAAGATTTGAACCCAGAGCCTCTGGCTACAAAATCTGTATGCTTTGTAATATCTCATGTTCTTTACCTCTTCAGATGGACTCTGGGACCCTAAGATTCATGCATGTATTTTAGGGTAGCTTTGAGGTTGGCATAAAAAGTATTTTTGACCGCTGTTAGGAACTGCCTCTCATTATTGCAGGCTTTAACTCTTGCACAAGGTGGAATGACTTTAGCCCTAAAATCACACCATGACTGGCTGGGTCTGGCTGTCAGCCAGTGACACTGTGGAAGCTTGCCATTCTGAGGCCTCAGGGAAGTCTGCCATCTACCACAAAGGCCACCATGCAGGAAGTAGCAATTCTGCTGCACACTGGTTTCGAGACTGTAACTGATAAACATTCAGCCAGAAATGCCTTGAGGTCAGTCTTTTTCCCAGCACAGACTGTTACTAAAATGAAATAATTAAAAACTGTGATCATTTCCTCCTGGGTATCGTAACCATGTTTCAATCCCTGTGAGCAGGTAGATGGAAAATGGAAGGAGCAGGTCACATGCCTAAGTTTCCATTAGGTATGGTCAAATATTGCTATATGTTTTTCTTATTGTGATTTTAAAAACTTACTCTTAACCGAATAATAAGCATAGTCACTGTTTTTGAAAACTAATACAGAAGATTGGAGCAAGACGGCAGAGTAATCATACCCTGCGGCCTTCCACTGCATCCCCAAATCTCTAGGAATGTCAAGAAAGGAAAATACTGAAAAACAAATACCATATGATCTCACCTTTAACAGGAAGCTAAACAACAAAACAAACAAACAAGCAGAATAAAAACAAAGACACTGAAATAGAGAACAAGTGGGCAGTGACCAGAGGGGAGAGGGAAGTGATTTAAGGGGGAAAAAGGGGAGGGATTTTGAGGAACAAGTATGAAAGACACAGGGATGAGGACTAGGGGGGAGGAAATGGGAGGGAGGTGGGGAGCACGGGGCGGGGGGGGGGGGCTGGGATGGGAGAAATAGACAAAAAAACTGTACTTGAAAAATAACTAAATAAAATTTTTTAAAAAAAGAAAGGAAAATACTCTTTCTCTTCCAAAGACCTGGCTACATTTGCACTTCATTGAAAGAAACCTCTGTTGCTAATTTAAGTATCAGTTTTGTCACTCATGCTTTAGACTAATTGTAACTCTCAAAACTAAACAGTAAAAAAGAAAAATCCAGTTAGAAAATGGGCAACAGGCATGAAAGATGTTTCATGAAATAAGCATACAAAGAGATGCTAAACATCACTGGCCATTAGGGAAATGCAAATTAAAGTCACAAATGAGATGTCACTGCATACCTGCTAGCATGGCTAAAAAGAAAATAGGAGGGAACAATATAGTGGTAAACACATGTAATTATACATTTGTCAAAACCCATAGAACGTATACCACTAAGGACAAACCCTAACATAAACTATAGACTTTGAACGTTTCTTTTAAGGTAGAAAAATAGTACAACATTTTTAGGATCAAAAAATCATTGAAAATAAAAAATTTGGGAAATGACACAACAAAAAGGTTTTTAATTTGCCAGTGGAAATAAAAAATGATACAGCCACTCTGGGAAGTAGTTCAGCAGTTTCTTTAAAAAGCAAGCAGCACTCACACTCCAGAGCGTTTATTCCTCCAAAATGAAAACCGTGCCCCAACAAACGCCCACACAGAAAAACCTGAACACCCCTGTTCATATATATCACTGCTCATAAAATAAATTCCTAGAAGTAGAACTGCAAGATCAAGGCATGTGCACATCTTAAATTTTGATAGTTGTGGTGAATTAATTTTGAATGATTCAGTAATGATTTATCCTGCTCCCAACATGGTATGAGAGTACCACTTCTCTTCCCTTATGCCCTTATCAATATTGCATACTGTCTAACATTTAACTATTGGACATTCTAATAGATTTTTAAGTATCTCATTTTAATTTATAACTATCTGATTATGTGTGAAGATAAGCTTCTTTTCATATATTTATTATTTGTATTTATTTTCCTGTGAATGGGGTTTATTTCCTTTGTCCATTTTTCTTGAGTTATTTTCATTAATTTTAAAAGTTTTATTTATATATCAAGGAAATCAATCCTTTGTTTTATGTTTGGAAAATTTATCTGTTGCTTCTAAA